CGGGGCCTGGTGTTGTCGTGGAGCAAGATGACTTGGCCACCTCTATAAGGTCTTTTCAGCCGAATAGCCTCATTGACACTGTTCAGCTGGGTAATGTAGACCTCCTTTTTGACAGTGCCGTTTCGTTCGAGCAGTTTCACAGTGCACCATGCCTACCCACTCCCACCAAACGCAGATCATGACCATTTTTTGGGTGAAGATCTTGCTTGACTCTCGGCTTTGGCGCCTTCCCTGGGGCCACTCACACCTTTCAGTAGACACACCTAAGACACCTTCCCCGTACACACTGCATATGTCCCAAGCGGTTTCGACTGCTTTTTTGACCTCGACGAGAATCAAAGAAAAGCAGATGTCGAAAATGCTAATTTTTTCTTCCTGGACACTCCATTTCTGAGCCCGAAAAAAGTCGAACAATTTAATATCTATCCTAAAAACGAATAAAACAGTTCTGTAGAGGAGAAAGAGCTCTTTCAAATGAATGTATACACTTTGCTAAGAAACAAAATAACTCGTTGTAAAATAACTCTAACGCAAAACTCTACGAACTTATGTTACAACCCAATATTTCCCATTGATTCAAGCCTAAGATCGCACATGAAATGCGCGGAATTCTGTCGATTACATCTCCGTGACATACAAATTAGTGATTTCGATCGATATTCTATAAGATGGGCAATAACTAGCACCCATTGATTTCTTGTTCAGGTTAGCAACGGATCGTCGATGTCGCCTCTATCTCCACACTGACGTGCGGATGCTGTTTTCTCAGAACAATACGCTGGACGCATTGAACCTGGAACTGAATGGTCGTGTCGGACAGAATTCGGGTCGATATCGTCTGATTGTCGAAACGGAACTGCCACGACATCCACGCTATTCACCAAAGAAATGACTGCTAGCTCGTTTTTTTCCAAAAAATTTCAGGGTTTCCAGGCAGACTAACTGCCAGTATTTCCATGTAGGTAGTTCTGTACATAGTGTAATCAAGGAATTAGAAGCTGTACCCTAGCGCTGTGAATCCACGAAGTTTACCATCGTGATCGATCACAATTGTAGGTCCTGGATTTCCAGCATTTGGTGAGACTGCGTTTATACTTAGCAATCTTGCAGCCAGCGTTTTTGTCGCTTTGCTTGGCTGTCGAAAAGGACACCGGTCATGGCTGATGGCAGTATTGTAGGCATCAACCGGTAATTAATTGCTGGCATGACGCTGGCACATGAGCGATGCGGCCATCGGTTGCTGCAATCGATAATATGTATGTTTCACATGGGCGTCCGGTTGCATGTTCTTCAAGTATAAACGCAATCCAACCATTTTTTAGTGATTTTTATTGCCTATCCAAAGTTGTAGAAGTGTTAGTCTGAGGCCTAGCACTTTTCGCAAATTGCTCTTATTCGCTTGCACCTCCAAATTTTTTCTTCCAAATACTTTTTGTTTTTGATCTACTTTATTCACAATAATGCATTTTGTATCATGCATATAGATGTAAATGATGTACATTTTTCAACAGGTTTGGGTAGTGATATCTTTCTCTCCTCCTCCTCGATCATTATCATTATCATCATCATCTTCGTCATCCTTAAACAATACTACATTCGGTTCACATATACACGTAAAGAGCTAGTTGTTCAGTTGCCTTATAGAGTTGTATACCAATCGATAGCTATTTTTCATGTACATTATTGATCCAGGGACTTTCATAGTGGCATAGTGACGTGCGCATTCATCCAATCATTCTTTCTCTGCTTTTTTTTTCGTTGTTTTTTTTCCTATTTTGGGTCAGTGCTACTAGATCGTGCATTGCTTTTGCCTCGTCGCCAATACAGTTCAATCGTTCTGCCGGTAAACTTTCTACCCCGCCTCCTCTCTTATATCGCGGCTCCGCCCACGCAATTCTTTACTACCTTCGCATTCGCCGTAATTTGTGATAACATTCACCGTTACCAAGAACAACGCTAGAATATTCTCATTATTGAAGCATTCATCATGTTTTTTTTTCCTTTTGTAGTAAACATGTTTTAGTGATCTGTTGTTTTTTTTTAAGTCCAAAAAGTGATCAAAGGCACAGTCCACAGAGTGGTTCTTGAGATCCCTCCCTAGTATGAACCTGCAATACTCAAGAGCGGTAAAAGAATCGCCGTTGGTTCGGAAAACTGCCTAGATAGTTCGTAATAAGGCCTCAAAACCGGACACACCCAAAGGCGGACGAGTTCTCACGGAGTTTTGGAGGCAGTAGAGGTTGCACCATTCGCACCAGAAAGCACGTGTAGCACGTAGGCAGCTAATTGTGGCCAGTTGTACGCAATAGCACACACACATTTGAACAACTCTTCCAAATACTCCTTCCATGCAAATTTTGTCGTCACATTCTTTTCCAACCCCTAATTTCACTCTTTTATAACCTTATACTACTCTAGAAAGCCACTTTTCACGTCTTCTCCGCCACTTTATGGACTACCACTCCCATTATTAGTCCAGAACTAGAAACCCGAAAACTATCGTGAACTGTGACTTCATATCTCTAGGCATCCTAAAAGCCTATGAAATCGCAAATCAGCGTTGGATTAGCCGCTGCAGTGTACACCATGATGTTGTCATTCATGCGAAGTCCCGTGGCATCAGTAAGAGGCATGCCCAGAGATGACTGCGATGGGGTCGCTAATCATTACCATAAAATCGCTTCAAGAAGCAGTGATCTATTTTCGCATCGAGGGTGATGGTGTGCCCTACCTAATTGTAGATAATTAATTGTATTACCTAATGGTATTTGGTAGTACAATATGCAACCGGATTCAAGCACGAAACATACTGTTGTAGCTTTCCACCTTATCTGATTAATCGAGCTTTTGATGTTCATAAAAATATTTCTTTCAAGGTTGGGCGGTGTAGTGGCAAGCAGCGCACTTCACACACACACGGGCACAATGGACAGTTTATTTGGTACCAGACTCGGTTGGAAGGATAATGGCATTGACTTGTACATTGGATGGTCACCGCAAGTCATTGCATAGACCACATACGCATTCAATACGCCACTTCGAGTCTGAATGAATGTCGAATGCGTGGGCGCATCCCTCAGGCGGGGTAAATTAACGCCTCAACCTTTATCCTTACCCTTATTATATCTCTTTTCTAGTACGAGAAAAAGCTTCAACGGGTAAACTATATGCTTCATGCATTCGTTATAACAGCCACCTGTGGTGACAGCGAATTCTGCCCGCTTTTATGGTAAAACCCTGGCTCCTGAAGATGACGATTACGACAGAACCGTTAAGCGGTTGATTTACCGTAACAAGTATAAACCTCGAACACCAGAAGAATATTATCATGATAAATATATTTATTATGAATGGAATCACATATAGATCAAGGCAACAAAGCGAAGGCACCCTGCTGCTATTTGGAACACAATAGAAGTAAGGCCATGAATACATAAAGATCAGAAAAGTAAGCAACAAAGCGTAATGTCTAAAAAAACCCTTTTTTAGCTAACCGTTTCAACATAAATTCTTCATAAGCATTTACATTAATCATTTTTAGATCTTCGAGCTCTGGCTCGTTTAAACCATGCCGATCGCTGCCATAATGGCATTGGTCCACCCCATCCGTTTGCAATACCACCTCCTCCTCCAGTTCCCCAACTCATAAGGCCACCACCCATACCACCCCAATCATCATCGTAATCCACTCCACCAAAGCGGAATCCACCTTGTTGCCAACGTGGAGGTGGTCGAGTGACTGTTGGTTGTCGTGGACGAGCAGTTGCTACTGGCGCTACACTACCTGAATTAACGGCTATTCTTTGATGAAGCAGCTCCTAGAGAGGTTAGTGAAAGCTTACCAACAGGACCGCGACACATGCTTCTGAGGTCGAATTGTGAGTAGCACGTCCTGCACGATGCACGACAGTTTTCTGACATCCACGGGTTCTTTTCGCATTCACCCTGTCGAGCCCATCCAGCGCAGTCACGGTGATAATCCAGACAAGCTGAAATGTTAGATTCATCTTCACGTAGGAACTGTTAGTGAGGAGACGTATATGGCTGCTTTCAGGGTAACGGAACTTCTCCCTTATCGCGGCATTCTCCCTTGCGGCATGCGGCGAATGTCACTGCAATTACCGTACTCACCCCGCCTCCCGAAAATCGATAGGACGCGATATTTTTCCTTGACTGGCTTGCTCTTTCATTGGATTTTATCGTTTTTTCTTCTGTTTCTTTTTAGTTTTCATGTTTATTAGACTTGATTGATTAAAATGACTCCTCTTATATAAACGACGATCAATACCGCATTGAAATTGAAGGGAGCGACCAGCCAATTCAAATGATTAAAGGACTTTCTACCTCACAAATTGCGCGCTCCAACCTTTCATCGCAATCCTGCGATAGGCGGCCGTGTTAGGGGAGAAGTTCCCGGACCCCTGCTTTCATAGTCCGCCGGCCGGCGTGCCGGTGGAGGCAGTGCTAGGGGGGAGGAGGGAGGCAGACAGTGTAAGGCAAACAGTCCACGCCCCTTCGAAGGTTGTTTGTTCTCAACCCCTCGAAGAGGCGTG